CTTCTTCGGCGGTGCCGGTGACGACGCCGTTGGTTACTCTTGCTGGTTAGTATTACTGGTAAGAGTGAGGGTGGTATAGGGAGGGGGTGGTAGTTGGTATATTGGATACTGTATATAGCCAGTCACTCATTGCTAGGATTGGAATGGTCCGTATCTTACGGACCTCAGGTGCATATAGCATAGCCATAGCTGATAATGATAAAGTAGTAGTGCAACCTACAGCTCCTACAGCCATCTACAAGGGACAAGGTGGTTGTCGAGGGTTTGTCAAATTATAGCCCCCTAGTGTGCAACCGTGTTGGATCTGCATAAGCATAAAGACAGCATCGAGAGTATCACGATAGCAGCAACTGGACAGGAGGGGTGTGGTTCCATGTGTAAGTACTGAAGAAAATGTAAAGCCAGGAGTAATAGTGATGGGTACCCAAAATGTAACAGCAGTGGGGTGTCGCAGAAAGTGGGGAAGTGCAGATAGAAAGATTCCCGATGCTAAGAAAGTAAAAGACACGGAAGAATGATAACTGTAACATGGACTGTGGTAATACGCCGACCAACAGAACGAAACATTCACCGCCATACCATCTGACCGTCCCTCTATCATGGACATATGAAAAATGCACAACACTCATAACTGCACATCGAACAACATTCTTCAGGCCTCCCGACAAAACAACAAGTCAAGGGCGAATAAATCAACAAGACACATAACTGACCGGGTATAACAGAGGGTATAAGAAGAAAACGCGTGCAGATTATCATTAGCCATCATCCTTGAGACAAGGATAATATACAGCATCAATGAAAAGGGTATGACGGGAAGATGCGAGTAACCGATCTCAAAGCAAGTGGACAAGACCCACAGTATAAAAAAGATGAAATGAAGATAACAAGTCAAACGGGCATCTCTTTTCATAGATCAACATCACCAGATCACCGCAACGCCGAATCGCATATGCCGGCCATCGCCATCTCATTTTTGCCTCTAATAACCGGACCATCCCAGAGGAGTCCCGGACTGACCGGGCTGCGGGTGACCGGGCTGCATGGGGCCAGCCGGAGGCCATCCCGGCATAGCACCGCCAGCGCTCATTCCCATGGCCAAACCAGGCTGCTGGGGAGTTCCTGCCATGAACTGCTGACCTCCAGGACCCTGCGTCGAAGGATACATGCCTCTGGCGGCAGTCACCGCTGGATACGGAGCAGCCGTGACACCAGGGAAACCCATCGATGCCATGGGCTGTTGTTGAGGCGCCTGCTGAGGATGCATGGGAAAGTTCTGAGGCATCGGTGGCGCCGAAGGTCGGGGCTGATTCCGAGGAGACTGCGAATGCTGCTGCTGCTGCTGCGGCATGGAGTGTGCGAGCGGCGACGGTGACTGCTGCGTATGCATTTGCGACGGGAACTGGGGCATGCCGACGCCCTGAGGACCAGCGGCAGAGAGTGGAGATGGTTGCGGCTGGGGTGGTGGTTGTCCCCACATCTGTTGCGCTTGAGAGGGATATCCGTAAGGTCCAGGAGGCTGAGGCGTCCCGGCAGCCATGGCAGGATTAGACCTTTGGTGCATCAACTCGGGCCGAACGGGGGGAACGCCCCGAACAGGGGACTGTGCAACAGGTGGCTGCTGATGAGCCGCAGGTTGCTGGAAACCTGACTGGCCAGGCATGATCGGTGCCTGATGGGAAAGCATGGGCTGCTGCGACTGAGCTGCATTCATCATTCCCGTGGAAGCCATCTGTGGCGACTGCAAGGGCTGTGACACGGACGGTGTCGAATCCAGTTGACCAGGCTGTGACTGCGCCGCAGAAACAGGCACCTCCCGTTGCTTGGCGTAAAAGTCGTCCAAGCCCTTCTGGCGATAACTCCGTTGTGACGTTAGGATTTTGTTGAATTCGGCCGTGTGTGAAGCCTGGTTGAGGATTTCAGCGGCCGAGCTGGGTTGAATGCGATCCTGGAAAGGCTGGCCCGTCAATTCCTGACGCGGGCGAGGCATACTGTTATACTCCCGCAGCCGGGGATCATCGGTGGTGGTGGCCATGTGGATCATAGGGAGTGGCGGCGCAAGAGAAACCGAGGACGGCGGACCAAGAGGCAGGCTACCTGGCACAGATTCCAGCGCATTGCTGTAGATGACATCGCCATGAGTGAGGGTGGGTAGAAAGCTGGCTGCGCCCGCAGCTTCTGCTGCCGCCGCATCCCGGGCTTTCGCGCCGCCGGGTCGCTTCTCACCAGCCAGATCATCCTCCGTGAATCCTTGCTTCCGTGCTTTGCTCTCCCAGTAGTCGTCGCGGACGCGCCGCCCATTGACAATCACGCGGCTGCCGAACTGACGGAACATCGACTTGGCCGTCACGATAGCAATCTGGCGCGAACGATACGAGTAGGGTAGGATATCTTGCTGGATGAGATCATCCTTCTCGATCTGACTGGCGATGATCTTGTGCAGCGAACGGTTCTTGTTGAACAAAAGATACGAGTCGCGATAACCCAGCACCCTTGCGCATTCAGTCGCAAGCATGAAAAGCTTATTCCCACGCAGAGGAACGCGGAACGTGCGACACTTGTACTCTCGGCCTCCTTGAGGGTAGCCCATAGCATCCACCTTCTTTTCACCTGCCTCGTCGAATTCTTTGGGGATGTATTCGTCGCCTTCTTCGTTCAGCTGGTCGGTCGTATGATCCCGGACGGTAGGTAGGGCCTTGACGAGCGTAGACTTGGTAGGCGTAGTCTTGTCCGGCGGAGACGCTTGTGGCGGCGATACATTGACGGCAGCTTGCGCCGGCAGAGGCTGAGTCTGCAACCGGGGCGTCTGAAGGTGAACATTGGAGGGAGTCTGATCGCTGGGGGTTGTCGCAGACGGACGCGGAGTCTTGGGAGGACGGCCTCGTTTCCGACGGCCTTGTTCATCTATTGTTTTGACCGAAGTGGTCCACGCGTCAGTCATCTTGATCGCCAGGCGACGTTATACATGCACGTGGACAGAAGGGTAGGAAAAAGCAAAAGCGCGACATTCAGATAGCAACAACAACAACAACGCGCGAGGGGAACGCGAATGCCAAGAAACTCCCATGCTTCCGGAATTCCACGAAGCGAATCGTGAGAGGACTCCGACGCACACATACCGTCGTCATGGTCTCCATCCGCGCGTGCATTCCCGCGCTGGTCTGGGGTTCGACTTCGCTTCACACCACGAGGAGCTATACTCGTTGGGGTCGCAATGCCACCATATGTTGTTGGGGTTGGAAGCACTACGGCGACTAGTAGAAAGCCGTCAGTTTGGAGGCTGTCACGATGGACAAGCAAGAGTGATAAAGAAGTATTTTTGAGCCTCCATGAGCGGCGACAGACAAGTCCACCGTCAAAAGCGCGGCAGCGAATAGGAAAAATGATGTGGGAAAGGGAAAGTAGAAAATAATGACAGGAACGAAACAAGGGGGAGGGGGAAGTGTAGTGGAAAGAAAGTAAACACAAAGACAAGCGAGCGGGGACACAAGCAGGCAAACAGACGAAAAGCTGAAGGAAGGAGAAAGCATCAGTCACATACCATTATTCAGGGCAGCGGGATTGATCGTCCCCGACCCATCAACGAGCTCCCCTCCGATGCCATTCATCGGAGCGGGAACAGAGGACTGAGGAGTGCTGTACATGGCGGGCCAAGGAAGGACGGGAAAGAGGGTGGTGTGGTGTGGTGTGGTGGGTGGTGGTGGTGGAGGGCACCGTCGCAAGGTTGCGGGCGCGTTAGAGACACGCGAAGAAGATCAGGATGCCAAACCGGGATGGGGGTGGAAGATGGCGACCTGGTTGGCTACTGCGATGAAGGAGGGCGAAACTGCGACGATGCAAGTGATCCTCGGACAGATAAAAAGCGGACGGACCACGGCTCGCATGCAGTGGGAATTTGACTGGTAGGTGGCAGGAAGCGGATCAGCGGAAAGGTTTGAGCAAATCGGTGCTTTGCAGACTGGGGTGGTGATGGTTTGGGGGGAAGCGAAGTTCAGATCATGAAGGCGGTGAAGAAGGATAGTAAAATGAATGAACGACAAGCAGGCAGGCAAGGCAGGCAGGCAGCGCACGGTCGGAAAAAAGAACAAATCTAGATAGATCGAGAGCTGGGAAGTGATAGAAGTGATAGAAGGGAACAACAAACACCGTCACAAAATAGACCAAGGTACAACAAGACAATAAGCTGCAGAGCAAGCACAGTGTTGATGGGTGTTTGTATGGTGTATGAGAAGTGTGAATGTGGCTGTTGAGGAAAGGGAAAGCTAGTATGGCCAGGACCACCGCCACATGAGGCTGTGAACTCCTTCCTCTTCTCAGGTCCCCTCCACGATCGATCGGGTATCCCAAGGTTTCCCTGTCTGCAGAAAAGCAGCGTCACCCACTAAGAAGAACTAGCAGCGGGCGGTTACTATGCCGGAGACAGGGAGATGGGCAGTGGATGATTCACAGCGTGCCGCTGATGGAACCGATCAGTGGGGACCGTTGACGGGGGGAGTTAAGCTATGTGTGACCGGCCGCCTGTGAGTCTGTGGTGTGTGCGTGGGTAATGAGGTGTGTGTGTATGTGAGTGTAAGTGAGAGGGGGTGTGCGTGCGTGTGCCAGACCGGGTCGCAGTTGGCGATTGGGTTAGAACCACGACGGGCAGGACAGGGCAGAGCAGTGGGGTGGGGAAGAAAGTTGGAGACTCGACTGGGAAGGGGGAAATGGAGGGGGAGGGAGGGAGGGGGAGAGGCGCACCAGGAAAATTAGAAGCAGTGACAAGAGATGGAGAGAATGGATAGGATGGAATGATGATGATTGATGATTGATGATGATGAAAGGAAAAGTGAAAGAAGGATTTAGTTCGAGAAGGGGAGGGGGTGGAGAGTGTAGGAGTGGGTGTAGGAAAGGGAAAGGTGGGTGGAGGAGGGAGGATTTGGTGAAAGGAACGGAAGACTTGGATTCGAAGAGAAGAAACACAAGAACAAGAAAAGCGAAGGAAAGGGAGAGGGGGGGGGGGGGGGGGAACAGCGCCAGGCAATAATCCCGGAGTGGAAACACCGGTCGATAGGAAATCCAAAACTGGGGAGGGGAAATGAAGGCGGGAGGCGGCGCCACAACATCCCTGATTGGCTGCTGCTGCTCGGGTCACGATATGTTCCCTGTCCAAATCGGGGATCGTCGCCGCAACACCACCGAAACACAACAGATAGTTGCAGATTCGCGGTGGATGACGAAAAGACCACAATAAATCGCAGCAACAACAAATAAGAAACAGATCAACGGGGGGGGAAAAATAGTAGATAAAGAAGCGCAAAACCCCAGAGATCTAAACACTTACAGGATTCTTCAGGAAACCTTCGACACAGCAGCAACGACGATCAATACGCCGTCGTCCTCAGACCGACTCACTCACTGACCTCCCGAGTCCAGGCTCGATTTCGTTAGCTGATCCCAGATACTACTACTTCTGCTGCTGCTTTGCGATGCGGCCGGCATGTGGATAGTGGATGGCCGGGTAGCGCGGACGCACGTCCGGAGGACCAAGCAACTAAGTCGGAAGATAGTCCAGGCGACACTGGACTGGACCCCTGCACGTCTGGCGCCCCGATCCTCCGATTTGGTGGCAGCTCGGCAGCTGCAGTGTTGCTGAAATTTAAAAATAAGAAAAGGCAACAAAAACAAGAAAGTCCAAGAAAGAGAGCCTTCAGACTCGCGGAAAATACTCTCGACGAAGACGAATCGGAGTGGACTGAGAAGCGGCCCGCGTACGCAACTGCAGCAAAAGAGAAGGCAGGGTGCTGCTACTGCTGCTACTGCTGCTGATAACGGGGTCTGTGTACACAGTAAAACAGATCGCGATCGATTGCGCGGTTAAGCCTGGGATGATGGAATCCCGACCGGGGAATGTCCTATCACAGCTTCAGGTAATATGTTCCTCCGATGAGACAATGTTTGTCTGTGGAAACAATCACCGGCAAAAGTGAAACGGCAGGGGAATGTTACGGAGCGCCCTGCGTAGAGTGAGGAATTCCTGATATTAGTCCGGCTCAGGCAGCCTAAAATCCCACCCAAAAAAGCAATATATCTCAACCACAAAAATCTCAATCAATCAACAATCAACAAATGATTGTCTCGCTGGCTGCAGCTGAGAACCAGGGCGAGGCAATCCTTGGATCGAGAGCCGGAGACAGCCGCCGCTGGGGCCGAGAGCAAAAAGCGATAGTAAAGTAAATACGGAAAAAGGTGGTCAGCCTCGGTGATAGGGTTCCGCAACCCGAACTGAACCTCTCCGTAATCTGTATGTCCGCCTGGTTCGATCTAAATTCTTCTGGACTGGACTGGACCGGACCGGCGTGTGCACACTGCACAGCAGCAGACCACACACGAGGCGCGATAGCAAGGGCAGCGCTGAATCGAAATTAACTATCAAGCTGTTTTCCGGGGATCGCGGGAAGTGGTTGGCCCTGGATTGATTGGCCGGACTTTAAAGAGACTGGAATAAAAGCACATGCAAATTACCCGAATAGGCTGGTCTTCCTAGTGGGTTGTCGGGAGTAGATGCGCAGCGGATACGCGGTGCCAAACCTGGCAACGAGAGCGGCAGACGGAGAGACAGACAGACAGACAGAACTGAAGAAGGCTGCGCGGCGTGGACGAATCATCCAGCACACCGGGCCAACTGCTATCGTCAGGGCTGCCAATCGTCAGCGACAGCGCCGGAGGGTGAAGGATTTCAGTCCTGCTCTTTGGTCAGTTCCAGGCCAACTAGTACTAGCTTTCTCGACTGCTGCACGTTTTATTCCGAGGTTAGACGGGAGTTCAAGCCTTTGTCTGGCTGTCTGCAAGAAGACCAAACCCGTCGACTACCACGCAACTCCTTTGGACTTACTAGAAAGACAACTGGATCGCCCGGAAGATCCTCTCCCCGGTCGAAGAAGGCAGAACCCTGCGGGGGACACCTATCTAATCCTTTGAGTGGCTTGGTGGATGAGGATGATGGAGGGGGCCGAAATTCGGAGGGAATGACTCGTCAGATGGAGGGGGAGGGGTGCGAGCGTGCTTGAGCGCGCGAGGTGAAGAAACGGGCAGGAGAGGGGCAGAAGAAAAGAGAGAAGAGCAGCAAAAGGAATCTGTTGTGTATATGTATATACCTACTTGGGGTTGGTACTTACTAGGCTTTCTGGATGAGGGATGAGGAAGATCCACCGGGTCAGACAGTCATTCACTCAGTCTCTCTCTCTCTCCCAGATCTGCCCTGAATTACATACAGACAACGTTGGAGCCGGAGTGCCGATGGACGGATGAATTTCCTGCAGCATACACTGTGGTATCTATCTAGTATCTAGACCTTCTCCCCAAGCTGATGAGATCTCTTCCTAAGACTATACCGGCAGCTCTACGATACTGACTCGAAGGGAGAGAAACAGGCAGAGTTTCCTGATTGGGGCAGGGTCTCTGATGGCATCTGGCGCCATTCCCGTTAAGGACCAATCACCAGACAGGCGCTTCTCCTCGCTTTTGATTGCCTCGAGCCAAAGTCTGTCCGGTCCCGTCAGGTATTGTCACTGCCTGGTATCTGGCCCGGTGACGAATCATCTCATGCTCATGGCTGTTGAGGTACCTTCGAATGACTCCCCCAGATGAATGGGAACTTGGTCATATTCCTGTGGCGATCAAACCGTGGAATATCTCATTCCTACAGAAAACGATGATAGTGTTTTTCCCTCCCAGATACCAGTGAGTGTTGATGCATACTCCCGTCTGCACGAAGTAAGCGCAAAGCCTCCCCGGATGAAACACCCAACGAGGCAGCCATTGAACTCCCAACCGCAAAACAGAAAACAGCCTCAGAGGTAGGGGAGTCCCTGTCTGCAATCACTGTTATATTTAGGATTTGTGCAACCGGACGAAAGCTTTTTCACTAGAAAGCTCCAGGTTGAGTTCGTCTGTCTGGGAAACGACTGGCCAGAGAGCTCAAGCACATCCAGCGCTAGTAAGCAAGCAGTGGAGATAGTAGTAGCCCTGTTGCTGTTTGTGTCCAGGAACTCCTGCGTGATCATCAGCAGAACGAGGCAAGAAACTGGTATACTTTCTGTTTATCTTTTTTGACTCATTCGGTAGGGTTACGCCAGTCATGCAGAATGCAATCGGAACAATCCCAGGCCGGAGTCCAGTCATCTCCGACCACAACGGTTACATTTGATAATGCCCATTTAACGAGGGTTTGTAGCCGACCATGGATCGACTCCAGGAATTCAGTTCTTCCCGTGCTGAGACTGCTGAGACTGAACGGTCATTGCTCAGGAACTGTCATCATTCCTGTGGCTTCGAGTGTTTGATCCTTGGGACTTCAGCGCCAAAGGGGGCACGAGGCACGGAGAGTGGTGGAGGGGGAAAGCAGAGGGCAGATGACCCAGTCGGACTGGAAGGTCACGAGCGCGGGCGCTAGGGTCGATCAGGGACCGTGCGTCATGCCGACCGTAACTTTACCGTTCAGTCACTTTGGTATCTTCTCTTGCCTTCCGGGGCCAACCTTCATCCATACTTACTCTAGGGCCAGATGCATCATAATTCATAGAATGGCAACATACTCACTTACTATCAGTAGAGATAGACTGATTCAATGCATGCAACATACAAAAGCACATATTAACAAAGTTTGAGACTAACCCAAGCATCTCCATCTCCATCCCCACTCCTACCGAGGCCCTCTCTCACTCGCTCACAAATCAATTCCTTCAAAGTGGCAAAAAGTACATACTCTTTCCCCTGTAAACAGCACGTAGATAATCTAGAAAGAACACTGACTGACTCGACTCAGAGCAACCCAACCACCACAAACCCCAGATCTCCTACCCATGACCAACACATCGGGAACCATGCATAGCCGTCCAGTCCAAACCTCAATCCTCATGAACGACCATCTTATAAGTATTATCTGCAGCCAGCATCTGTTATCATCAAGCTGCTGCTGCTATAACCCGCCCCGCTATCTGCCATAGAAAGTCGGCCGACACACACGGGTCGGCTCAATTCAAGCTTTCCCGTTTGCATGCAGCGTCACCTTCATCGCTTCGCACTAACAAGGACCGGAGACATGTAGGGGAATCAACGTACACTAGCAGTTGAGTAGTAACGTTTGAATCAAATCAAGAACGGGCAGATTAGGCTGCATCACGCCAAGCCCAGCCAAGTCCCTCCAGACAAGGAATCGGCCTGCTGCATGTCATCAGCAGGACACTTTGCCATAGCTCCCACTTGCAGATGCTAGGCTGAGTAAAAGATAGTGGTAACTAAACCTAATGGTATATTCTGTGTGTATTAGCTGCGACAGTAGATAGCGATACTAGCGGGACCATAGTTATCTAGCCTAATAACCTACTCAAATGTATGGTTATCACTAACGAAGAGGCATGGCAGTGTATACCAATCAACAAACCGGCTGACATTAATCCGGTTACACACATGCTCATCCTATCCTAACACAGAATATACAATCTATCTATTACTAGTACCACACAGTGCATATCATTACACAATGTCCTCCACAATGCAGCACAGCATAGCACAGCATAGCCCCCGTTCTTTATACCTCACCTACTAGTAGTAGTAGCCAAGATAACCAAGTCTTAGAAAGAAGATCGTAGATAGCGTCCTGTATATTTAACTTATTAGCAGATTCAAAAAGGTTACCCCCTAGAGCTTTCATTTAGCTCATATTACTATATTCTAGCAGTTTCAATATCCCACACCAATTCACCCAGTATGGTATACATAGCCGGGGAAAACATAGAAAGGAAAAACCAGTCCTCGTTATAAAGGGTAATAGCTTTGAATGCTAGTAGATTCTACTGAATACTAATTGAAGTGATGTATTGCTACTCATCCTATCTGACACCGAAGATGAATTCTAAGAGTAGGAAGCCCCAGTTATATCTATGATAAATAAGATTATAGAGGATTAAATCCGAAGGCAAACTATATTCTAGAATATCTCAAAGAAGGAGTGAACTGGATCTATACTCAACATTAGACAAAAACCAGAGAAATAACAGAATATAGTTCTTATTCACATTCATCCCCATCACGACTCTGTAGTTGACGTGATAAAAGATTTCTGCGAGCTTTGGGGGGATTCTTCTTTCATATAGAGTCTATCTATCTATAAGCGCAGTGACGCTACAAACTGAAATGTGACTTTTATGTGGTAATTTGTATGATAAAATAACTATTACCTGTATATTGGTCGTTAAGCTCGACATAACTAGTAACTAGGTAGTAGCCACCTAACAATACTATTGTAGTCTTAACTGGAGCACAATACAACCATTGATCACTCATTCAAACAGACATCAAATCCGTATATTTAGTCGTGATAACGTCTCAGCCAAGATGATTTCGATTTCACCTCGCTGTGAGAGGAAGGGGAGGAAGATTCAACGGTAATGCGGATGCTCCCGGTTAGAGAGGTGGATCTCTCATAGCGGTCGAGGTGATTTTCAATGTTACCCTTATGATGTTGGGTCATCGAGTCAGGTGGAGGTGGAGATGGGGATGAAGAGGGATAGAAGTGGGTGGTAGGTTCTTGTCGGATTTGTGGTGATGAGGAAGGAGATGTCGGTGATGGGGACATTTTATACGTCGATTGGGCTATAGTCAATATAAGTGGTTTCTGTAGGTGCCACCGTGTATGGCATATTGTATGATACTAATGAGAGTATATGATAATGAGTGTAAAGGGATGCTTGAGATATGTATAATGATGGAGCACTCTGTGGCAAGTAGTAGGCAATGTTCAACTTACGTTGACTGAGATTGAGGTCAGGTTTAAGAAGTATTTTGATAGGGAGAACCAAGGGTAGGAAGGGACTGTTTGCCACTCTACTAGTCATAATTGTTCAAAGCAACATGATTAGCTAGTGTGCGAACTTGTGATATGTAGTAGATATGTATCAAGCGTCTATTTGATTATTTTGCTATTTACTTATATAGTTATTGATCTATCGAGGTAGTATGTATTGTCCTGTGCATAGTGGTATCCTATAATATTGGTAGCTAGGTCATGACTGAAGGAACTGCCCCCAAGTCAGTGGTTCTAGGTTGAAAGTCCTCAATAAGACTGACACTCTCAACTACGTTTGCTGAACATGTTATCTAGGAAGGCATATCGTGTGGTGCTAATTGATGAGACGTTCTCAAGTGCCAGAAAGCTGCTATAGCTCGAGCTATACGAAGTGATTCAGGCAATGGCGGGGTTATAGAGGCAATTGTCTAGTTAACTGTGAAGGGCCTGATTTCTTTGCTCTTTACCAATGCACAGTAAGTACAAGGCCATCAGAAATATCATGCTGATTGACCTTCTACTGAGGTTAGTCTATAGTCGGTCGTTGTAGCAAAGTAAGTACCGTTGTATTTTAGAATTTATGATGTGGAATTAATGAGGTGAATATCAATGACCATGGTCGTACAAATGATTTCCAGTAACTTATATAGTGTGCAATTAGGGGGGCTAAGATAAATAGGTTTAAGTGAAATCAACACGTACTGGTGGCTATAACTCTCCACGCTGTGGCAGAAACTCATCATATGCATATATGCGCAGGATGCAGTTGCCTACAAGTTAGTCCACAATGTGTGGTTGTCGTGTGATAGCTGCTTCAGTACACCTACACCGGGCTATTGACATAACTTTGTTTTTTTCCCCCTCTGCTGGGCAATTTTCAGGAACTCGGGACAGTTGTCACATCTTGATGATAGGGCACGAAGGAATGCAGGGATGAAATGCCATCTTTGTCCGCGGGAGTGTCCGATGACCCTGAGGTATGTGCATTCTCAACCTACTCGGCATACCAGACTCTATGAAACTGAAACAGCTATCGAAAGAAAGTGACCTGTAAGGACAGCAATCCATCGCAAGTCACGGTAAGTTCTCGGGTGTGGCTGAGCGAGAGAATCTGACTGATCGGCCAAGCTCGTAGATCAATCATGCCATATGGCATGATGTCAGGATGGATGACAGTATTGCACTGCAATTTACCCGGCGTCCAAAGCGAAGGTAGCTCGTATCTCCGTACCTCTGACCTAAACGGTCACATACAGACAGGCCGCCTGTCCTATCTGTACGTAGAACTAGGAAATGCATCTAATCATGTTAGCCAGGCTGTTGAAGGCGAGGACGCCACGTAATGTTGCTGTTGTTCGCAGACCGCGCACACCGACAAGGGTGAATTTCTCCGCGCATGCTGACATGTACGCCTTTTGAACCAAGACTGACGTTCCAATAAGAACACTTCTTATCGTGTCATTCGAAGGGTAGTCTTATCAGCGTCGGGAAAAGACCATCTGGTGCTTAATTGAACCAATTTGCTGAGGGTACCACCTTATGGCACCTTGACGACATGAGCGTAGATTGACTGATATTATGCCCTGCACTAAGCATGGACTCGCGATGCCTGCCCTGTTAGCTACATTTTCCACCAATGCTCACCAACTCAACTAGGCAAGATTTAGGTGCTGGATGTTGCATATCAGACAAGCAGTATTGGGTCTGAAATCATGACAGCATAGCACAAGCATTGCTGATATGCCTGAACATCGCATCAACCAGCACTTTAGCTCTGCATTCATCGACTGGTCTGCAGCAATTGAAGTCATGAGTCAATATGGAACCACTGAACGGTACGTCAGGTTGTATCCCACGTCAGGATATCCACACCAACAATGTATACGAAATAATCCGTTGTGCTTTGTTAGCAGAACATGGTATTCGGCTAGCAATCATCATCGCAAAGATCTTTAACTGGGCAATGAAACTCGCAGATAAGCCCACCATGACTTCAGCACATGTCGTGGTTCGACACAAAGATTATGACGAAGACCACCGGTTTCAGAGAGGCGAATCGACAGAGCACCACCGATTAATGACACAATCATCTCACGATCGACGCTATTGTGATGCAGGACCAATAGAATCACCACGAAGTACCCCGTAGCAGCCCCGTTATCAGGAGAGCTTAACTGAACGACATCCGTCATCACCCACGAGAATTTCCCGGGGTCGAGTGGCGGGAACAAACGGGACGTAACCATCCGGCCGTCACTCGATAGAATGGCATTGATGGGAGTTGCATTGGCCAACCCTCGGCTATCATGATACCCTGACTTGTCTCTTGCGAAGAGGGTTCCCCCGGTTTCGGGACTATGAGTCACTGGCCTTGTGTAGTCGGGGAAGTCAGTCCCGAAGCTATTTACCCCAGATGGAGACGAGCTGGAGGATGTTCGTTGCGGTTCCGAATCTTCTCCGTATCTACCGAGGTCGGCGGCGGCTAATCAGTAGACCCTCCTGGATACCCGACTATTGATAGATCAACTCCCACTATGGAAGGGCAGCGCGCACAGTCGCAGGCTATCACGTCCGCTAAACGACCCACGGCGGGGCAAAAGTACGAGAGCAGCGAGCGAGGCAGTGGTAGAAGGGGAAATAGAGCAGAGATAAGCTCAAGCTGTACCAGAGGGTCATTGTGTCATGTCAAGTCAATGGAGAGGACCTCCACAATGAACAATGGATGAAGTCATGAAGGTGATTGTGCCAGGGCAACCAACTGGAGGCGCGAGTCTTGACATCATGGCCGGCGGTGGTCTGGCGGGTTCTCGGCCTTGGAAGGGAAACAGCTTAGTCAGGGCGCGTTTTGATAGTTCAGCCGCTACACCAGACCGAGCCAAGTTTGATTAGTTTGATTAGTCTGATTTTGTTAGTTTCGTTTCAAGGTGAACTTTTCCTGTTTCCCCGTCCCTCGGGTGACTAACGGAAATAATTTTGCCGTCTCCTCGGTTGCTCAGGAGAAAGAAGGGGAGAACAGTAGATCCGTCGGTGAGAGACGGGGAAGGGTGGGAGAGAGGGGGGGGGAACAACATTAGACTAGAAGGTCGCCAGATGAATCTGAAACCAACGCGTGTCCAGCTGATCACGCCTTAATAGATTGACGGTTTATTGCTTACGAAGGAATGGATTAATTACTCCGGGCTCCAATCCCCCATACTAAAGGAGGTGATCAAGTGCGTTTCCCGACTCCACGGTCCACAGCCCTCAAATCCACTTAATCCGGCCTAGTGTTTCCCCTGCAACCCTAACTGCCCAAGCCCACACTAATCCCCAAATTGGTCAAGTGTTACTGTGTATAGAATGCAGACTAGTCCTAGATAGTCCACGACCCCGCAAGTCATGGCCAATCAGAGTAACAGGCCCTGTCCATCCCTTACCGTTCCTACTGGTAGGGTGTTCGTCTCCAGATTTCTGGAGCTGCACATGGCTTGGTCGCGTTTGCAATAACCGTATTGCATCCATCCGACAGAAACTATGATATGAAGAGAGATCTTGGGGTTGATTGGGGTTCGTTCGGGGAGTAAAGAAGTGTGGTGGTAGAGAGTTGTAGAAAGACGAGGACTGAACTCTGTTTGCGACAAAGGGGAGTTACTGGCCGCGAATGGCAAGAAAACGGAGGGCATTTCCCAGGAATCGAGAGGGCAGCCAGACTGGGCGGGCGACCCCCGGCGTCGAACATTCCACGGATTGCCGTCAGACCCGGACCCACTGGAAAGGTCAGCTGCCCGACCAGTTTTGCCAGTGGAGTCGAGTCGAGGCCCTTTTCTTTTTTAAATTTCTGTCCTGCTCGCTGCTCTTTCTCCCTGGTAACGTCTGGGGAGGGGCTTACTGTACACTCTGGCTGACTGACTGACTGACTGACTGACTGACTGGACTGGCAGGACCGGAGTCTTTCCTCTCATTCCCTTTCGGTCACATACCAGAATCTTCTTTTACCTATCATACGCAGTTTTCCCCCTCCTCCCCAGAAAGGTTAAAAATATGATTGATGTAAATTGGAAACAAAGTTAAGCGATACATAATAAAAATGAAAAGTCATCCCATCATAGAATCATCACGAGATGGTAGACTACGAAAGAGAAAAAGAAAAAGAAAAAGAGAGGGACAGCGTGGGCGGCCACGGTGGACTGACTAACTGACCGATACAGGCAGTACACCCATACAGTATACACTATACAGTAGTAAACTAAATCGTGGTACGAGTCTAGACCCGGGGATCAACCGCTTGCAGAATCTGCCAGATCAGATGGTCACCAGGACGGCTTTCTCTTTTGGGTGTCCCGTCGGTCACGATCCAGCCAAACCCAACCTTTCCAACTCTTCACTCTCTTTCCCCCTTAAGCCTTTTTTCTCCCCTCCACTCGTTTCTTCTTATTCTCCTCTTCTCCTCTTTCTCTTCCCCTCCAGATTTCTTATTTCCCCAAACCTTCACCCCCTCCCTCCACCACTGGGCAGTCGCTCCCACTTCTTCTCCAGCTGACTGCCTATTATTATTCCTGCGCCGTATAACTATCACTACTCCCATCCATCCAGTCATCATATAAGCAATTGCTCCAATCCAATTGACTTGACTTATCACCACACTACACCCATTCATACCACATCAGTAGCAATTAGACTACTAGACTGTCATCACAATGGCAGTCACCGCCATCGATATCATGCCCAAAAAGCCTTCCTCATCTCCTCTCTCCTCCAACAACCCCTCCATGAATAAGCGCTTGCCCCCTCTGGCCGACAGGACCTCCCTCTCCTACAAACTCACCACCCTGTCCCGTCAGAAACTCGCCCGGGAGGCCACCGCTCCCGACCCGGACATTCGTCGCTGCCTTGGTCACTTCCGTCTGCACTGCATGTCCATGGAATGGACCCAGAAGGATATGTCGACGCGCATCAACTCGTTCGACCTGGAGGACGACGAATCCGAGAGTGAGGAGGAGGACCGCGACGATGAAGACAAGAAGGATCCCGAGGACCACAAGGATGAGGACCAGGACCGCCAGTCCTCTTCCAAGAACAACGAGTCGGCTGAGAAGACCTCGGAGCCTGAGAAGACCACCGTCCAGGTTACCTTCCATGTGTCTGCTCCTGCATCAGCCCCTCAAACATCTACCGACAAAGAAGAGAAGGAGGAAAGCCTCCTCGAGAAGGGTCGCAATTGTCTCGAGAAGACCGTCCAGAGGAAAAACTTCTGGCCTTCTCCTGGCCAGTGCCTGCCTGTGCGCATTGCCGGCTAGACGTCGCCAATGATGCGACACATTTCATTCTACCTATCGACATTCTCATCTCCTCGCCCCATCCCATCTCATTCTTACAACTCATTTCTTCACCACCTACCACCAACACCAACACCACCACACCGAAACACATAATTCTAATAATCCTCCCTCACGATGTCAACGAATTTACGAATTTCCTACCGACCTAATCTCATTCGCTCATACATACTTGGCGGAGTCAATAAGCGACTCACTGATTGGTTTTACTTTGCTAGCTTGGAGTTGGTGCGAAGGTTAATCAGTATTACTATCATCATCATAACATCATCATCGGAGTTCAACCATGTTAGAAGGAATACGGGAAGGGAAAGCAAAAAGGAAAGGAACCTTGGAACGGATAACCAACACATGTATTTAGTTCAAAAGCACAATAAATTCGAAATCTACCAACACATACTATTCTTAATATTCATACCTATAGTATACATATTTACCTCCCTAGCAGGTAAGAAGAAAAATACATAGCCACGTACATACCCCAATCACCCAATGCAACCAACTAATTACAATCTTCACTCTGCAGACCAAACCGACTAACAATAATTAATCCGAAGCAACCAACCTAGCAACCAACCCAGCCAATACTGCAAGTAAATACATAGTAGATAGCAGAGTATACTAACCCTGCAGGGGTGTATCCCTGCACCTGCATTTGCATCAGCAGTAGCAGTAGCAGTAGCAGCAGCAGCATTAATACCCTACCTTACTTCCCTGTTTGTCTACCTTACCGTCTCACCTAATTTAACCGATCTGACTATCTATAAACAAGTAATTAACCAGTCACGATCCCAGAAACTATCACACTCATGTGATTACTTACTATCTATCTATCTTACCATTAGGCATTCATCATCTATCATACAGTAATCCTTGATCTGATACCCAACCATAACATACACACAGGAAATAAAAAGAGAAGGGAAAGAGATGTGGCAACCCGCCACGCGGCCCAGCAAACATACACAGTACATACATACATACATACATACATACATACCTAGCATGGCGTGATCTGCTGTACTCTGCTCTACCCTGCAATGCACAACCACGACTCACGATATCATCACCCATGACCAGAATAGGAAGGTAACGCGATACCCCAACCTGGAACTATCCCCATCATCATCATCATCATAATCATCATGGAGGCGAAAAAACAGTATTGCCATCATAATCATACAACCACTGTTTCTGACCTTTTTTCTCCTTGATGACGATTAATGAGTCATAGGTCCAACTGTGTAATAACTAATTGAGTTGTGTGAGTGTGGGTGTTGGGGTTGGGGTTGTTGCCACCAAACGCGAGCGGATAATGTATGGGTCGGTCTGCTTAGGGTAGCGATTGGCGTGCGGCGACATCATTAGCCTCACCATCAACATCATCCATCATCGGTTTTTGATCGTGGAAAGTACTGATTACTCTTTGGGGTAATAGATCAATGGTTCCATGTACTTCAGTCTAATCCCTGGAGAGGTATTGCATAATGGATGATTTAATTGCGGGTTCCCATAATACTAACTAGTATACTAATTAATTATGAACGTAAATCAATGTGCATGCACATGTTCTAACTATTATCATTCAATTCCAACACAGGGTATTTATGTTCTAAGTACTACACAGTCATCGAATATGCAAGCGCCCGCTAACCCATACTTAACAATCAAGAAGAAGATAAAAATTGTATAACGCCACTATGCAAAGTCATCATCATCATCCCACCCCAATTGTGCATAGATCGACTTTTCCGGCGTCACAGGCACAGTCGGAGCAGAAGTTGTCGGCATGGCTAATCGGGCGGCACTTGCACCCTTCACAGGCGTAGCAAAGACATTGGCCTTAGCCGGGGTGGTAGTAATTGTGGTCGTGGCCTTCACAGGTGTCCCTGCCACTGCCGCCGGCTCAATGGCTGTAGGAGCAGAAGGAATCGAAAAAGCAGGGGCCATGGCCGGTTTCGGAGGCGTTTCCATGATCGTGGACGGCTTGCTTGAGCCGATGGACTTGACTCGGGGCATATAGGCGTCCACGTGTCGGGCTGCGATCGGCGTGGTTGGACCCTTTCCAGTGGCCCGAAAGGCAGGAGGAACAGGGGCAGGGACTGAAGTTGGGGCCGGGGCTGGCTTGCTGGGGACGCGGAAAAGGGGTCCTGAGATTTTTCTCTTCGGCGATGCGCTGATATCAGCTGATGATAGAGGCTGGGTTGGTCGACGCGTGGGCGTTTCCTGGATCGCCCCGTCGTCGGCAGATCGGAAGAGCCCTGAATTTGAGGGTCGGATATTAGAGCCGGGAACAATTTGCGGCTCGCTTGTGAATGGGGAGGAAGATGAAGATCCCTGGGGTATGAGAACTGGTTGGGA